GAATTCTGATAACTGGGGCTGCCAGGAATCGAACCCGGGAATGTTTGGTGTGTTACATTTTATTTATTTGTTGTAGCGATGGCCCTGTGGCTCAAGGCAGCATATGCATGGCTCTCTCAGCTAGAGGTGGGTCAGACTAACAGACTGTGACTGGCTTGAAGACATCTGTGGCTTTCCTGGCCGAGAGGGGAATTGGGAGCCAGGCGTCCGGGGCCCTGGTTTCACACTGTAGCCACTATATATCACGTAGGCGGTCTGATCTTAGAAGACATACCAAGAGGGGGCTCGGTCACGGAGCCACAGCCCCTCCCAAGAGGTTTGCTTTTCCTGCCCTCTCTTATTTTTGAAGCCGATGTTTGTGAAGTGTGGGGTTTCTCTAGCTTGCTCTAGCCATGGTTTTTGTGCTTGGAACTGCCTTCTAAGAAAGGACGCCAGGTACTCCTGAGCTCTCAAACCCGGCTGTGCCAGTCGGCAATATTTTTTCCCTTGACGCAATGCTGCCGCCGGCTGGATCTTTTAAGGTACTGCACGTGTTAATCCGTAAGGTCTACGTTGACTTCCTGTATCAAGTACTGTATAATGTGGTATGTTGGATGGGGTGGGGAACTGAAGGAGTTGCTGAGGTTAGTGCCGTAAGAACAGTGTGACCAAGGAAAAATAAACCCTGGAAATTAAAAACTTACAGCTAACTGTGATGAACTAATGTAAAGTATCGTAAAGTTTTCTTTCAAATATTCTTCATAGGATGGATGAGTTGTATGTTCTCAAGGTCCCTTTTCATAACAGAGTGGCTCATCTGTGCAGGATGCAGGATACGGAGTGGCCCGAGATGGATAATTCTGTGCCCGACTCTGCATAGCTGATCCTTCCTGGAAGTGATTAATGTGACAGAGGTGGAGTGACTATGCCTCTGTGGTTAGGCGAATTGCAGAAATATCTGTGACCTAAGAACTGAGGACTTTCTTGTCTTCGATGAAGTGGGGTGTTTTGGTGTATTGAGGCCACTTGCTGAAAAGATTAGCAGCCATTGCCATTTTTCTTGACACAGGCCTTGACACGTGTTTTGGCTTCTGACCTGCTAAATCGGCAATAAGAGGTTGGGGAAGAAAAAAAATATGCAACTTTGAGTTTATTTCCACGTACCCCAATCTTTGAGCTTCTGTTTGTTTTGTGTGTGAGGTGGACCCTGACTCCTATAACTAAAACCAGTGTGCTGAAGTCTATTGTACTGGAATAATTTTTCAAACTGCATCCTTCATATATAAAGAAAATGGTTTGTACCACAAAAGATTTTCTGGGTCAAATATCATTTAAAACGAAGTGGCAGTTGAGCAGGGCATATTAAGTTCCTCTTCTTTTTAACCCACGGTAGTACTCATAATTATATATGCTGCGTATGTGTGTGTCTAAGAGAGATAAAAGAGGAAAAAAAACTTCCCTTTTTATGTGAATACAGTGGTACCTCACTAAATGGCGACCCTGCTAAACGACGAATCCGCATGACGATGACTTTTTGCGATCGCTATAGCGATTCACAAAACAGTCATTCCTATGGGGGATTTTCGCTGGACGTCGATTAGGTCCGTGCTTTGCGAACTGTTTATTCGCAAGATGACAATTCTTTCGGCTCTGCAAAATGGCTGCCCTGTGTTTTCCGGACCCATGCTTTGCAGGGCAGCCATTTTTACAGCTGATCAGCGCTTGGCAAATGGCTTCTCTATGGGCGATCTTTGCTGGACAATGAAGTATTTTCCCCATTGGAACGCATTAAACCCGGTTTCAATGCATTCCAATGGGGAAAGGGTTTTTACATGGCAACGATTTTGCTAAACAGCGATTTTCCCGGGACGGATTATCATGGTCATGCGGGCCACCACTGTAGTTTTCTGAGATCTTGTTTGTATGTGAAGCCACTTTTTTCTTAGGCAGGCAAATGCATTTCCACTTGTTTTGGCACCATCGACCTGTGATTTCCATGTTCTGCTGAAGGAGAGCTTGTAGTTCATTTCTGCCTCTGTAGTACAGCATGGTTTGGCATGCTATTATCAGCCTTGGACTCTGTAATTCCATTCTATGTTGTTTCCTTTGCTGTTGTTGTTTTAGAGCAAACGGGACCACCTCCTAATGAACGTCAAATGGTACTACCGCCAGTCTGAAGTCCCGGATTCTGTCTATCAGCACTTAGTTCAGGACCGACACAACGAAAATGGTATGCTGAGCTCCAGAAATGTGTGACATCCTTTGCTAATCAACAAGCTGTCTTAATTTTTTCTTCATTCTGCTGGTATTCCATTACCCCCTTGGAAAGATCAGAACGGCTTGTGCTGGGTTCCTAGCTTATCGGGCTAAGGCTGATCTGTTCAACACATATAGAGTGTGCCCCCGGATCATTACCTGGGTCATGTTGAGACAGAAAAAAGGGGGAGCCAAGAAAAGGGAGGAGTGGGGTGAAGTCTTCTCAGTCAGTCTGAGGACAATTTCAGCTTACAACATTTCATCTTTAGGAAGATACCACTTTCTCCCCCAATGCCTTTTTCTAACACAAAAGGGTTAGAAATCTGTGCCTTCCTGTACAGCGGTGGCTCTCAACCTTGGGTCCCCAGGTGTTCTTGGATTGCAACTCCCAGAAATCCAGCACATCTGGAGACCAAGAACATCTGGAGACCCAAGGTTGGGAACTACTGCTGTAGAGGAAAAGTTGGGACTTTAGGTATACTGTAGCAAAGCACATCTCTGTGCATCCTGATCAGATGTCTTAGTTATACCTCTGTGTGCCTATACTGGGACTACAGAGTGTTTTGTGGGGGAGAGAGTTCCCCTGATATCCAGAGATGGCACACCAGTGTCAAATGGAAACTGTCAGAAGATTGGAATATTCGCAAGAAGCACGTTCTTTTAAGAAAGCTTGAACTCCAGGTGGTGGTTTTTCCAGTCGCTTGCTGTATCTCCATCTTTGGCCTTCCAGGTGTGCTAGACCTGAGTCCTCAGAGTTCCTAGTCATGGATTAGGCCTTTTGGGAGTTGGACGTTCCAAACGTCTGCAAGGCAGAAAGGCAGTGAGAACCTCTGTGCCCCATTATCAGTGTTCCGAGAGTTGCTAGGCATTGAACCTGGCACATGAAGCAGACACTTGACCTGTATGTTTCCCCCATGTGTGTTTAAAATCTTCATGGCTTCATCTGATTTCAAGGTGTGTGCCTTGGGGAGTGGGGGCGGCTCAGAACCTGATCCAGACCCTTCTCCAGCACCATGACTAAAGCTGTGAATTTTTCTTTTCTCAGATTCTGGACGTGAGCTGGTTATTACGGACCCAGTTATCAAAAACCGAGAGCTTTTCATCTCAGATTATGTCGACACCTATCATGCTGCTGCTCTCAGGTGAGGTTTCTTCACTTCCTCAGGAGGCCCTTTCGAAAATGGTGTGTGGCCTTCTTGATCTTGGATGCAGAGTCTAGTATAATAATATCAGTCGCATTCTTCATCTGTCAAACTAGTTTGTAAGCAGCCTTTTCAGAATTATTAAGAGGGTTATGGGCCTAAATTGGTACTTAAAAAAAAAGTGAAAACATTTTATTTGGACATGTGGTTGTATTTTGGGATTTTCTCACTTCCTGTGTGGAAGGAAATAATTTCAGTGCTCGAATTAAGCCTCTTGAGACCATTAGTGAACTGGAATGAAACAGAAAGGGAAGTGAGCTGAAGCTGGGGAATATCTCAGAAAAATCTTAAATAGCCATGGTCATTAAGACCTCACTGAAAATCAGACTGGGATATATTCATGGAGTTCAACCAGGGACTGCCTTTGAAAAAGAACTCAAAAGCATCCACTGCTTCAGGCAGCAATGGCCAGATGGTTGTTACTAGCGCAACCATCAGTGTATGTTACTTCCGTGCTGTGTCATGTCTTCTGGCTCCTGCTTGATTTCTAGTCCCAGGTCTCAGTGTCCGCCTTGACCCCCTGCAGGCCTAAAGAATCTAGACAAAGAGGCTTCCCTCCGTGTGAAGCCTCCTTCTGAAATTGGGTGTGAAGTACATAGTGTGAGGGAATGAGATGGGGCTTATCCAGTGGCAGCATCTGGATTGTGGAGGATACTCCCTGGAGAAGGTTGCACGACTCTTTTTATTGTCTGTCTCCTAAAGCACTGCATTTTCAACCCTTTCGGTGGTTCTGTTCTTACTGTTGATGGTGCTGCTTCTTTTATCTTATGACTGCTTTTATTGTTGGTATTGATTGCTGCCTCAAATGTCTTCAAACCTGAGAGTTTCCATGCAGGGTGAGATAAGCCTTATGAGGCTTTGCTTTAAATGACTGCTGTGGCATCAGGAAGACTTTCCCTAGAATAAGCCTTCTGTTGGAGGAGAGGGAGAGTGTCACGTGGCTAAACCGAGCCTTTCTGAGTAATAATTTAAATTGTAATTAAATTCAACCTGCCCTGCATATTTAGACATCCCCTTTTTTAAAGCAAACCCTGCATAAGAGTGGAGATCCGTGTGTGTTTTGTGGAACAGATCGTGTTTGACCATGCAATGGCAAAGAGTTTGTAATTTGCTCTGGAAATCTTTTTCCTTCCACCCGCTCTCTGTGTTACCCTCTCTCTCAGTCTCAATCTCTCCCTTTCTGGCTGTGCTTTAAAAGTCTAACAAGGTCCCGCCTGCTGTCACATGCTTTGAATTTTATCTATCCCTTCTCTGTATGATCAGTCTTCCTCTTCATCAACCCCAGAGGTAATTGATCAACGTCTGTTTCATTCTTTTCCCTTGCTTTGTCCTTGTTTGTTTAAGAAAAGTAGATGTAACCTGCATTGGAAATGGTTGCTTGTGTATTCAGATGAAGAAAGCTGTTGGCATCATGCATCTCATTTTGAGCTTGCAGAACAAGTGCATGGATGTTGTCAAAGCATGAACTGAATTATTTGTGTGCCACTAGGGCTCAGGCAGTATTTTAAGCAAGGCCACCTGGAGACATTTCAAAGCTGCTCTGCTGAAGCTGCTTCCTTGAAGTCAAGTCAGCTGTAACCTCTACTCTGGGGAAGAGAAGTGAACCATTTGATTTGGCTTATTTCAGGACTGCTGCTACTATTGTTTTCGAGATGAACCAGGAAAATTCCACTAGTACGCTATCATCTGTTCCATAATAGCCGAGTGGCTTCTGTGTCTCAAAAATGTTGTTAGCCTTCTGATCAGAAATTGGCATGAAGAAAAGGCAGCACAAACTATGCCCCGAACAGATCGAAAGAGCTGTGCAGAAGATAGAGTTTTTTGCTCAGGCACACGTGTGTTTGTGTGTGATTTTTCTTGACAGTGTTTCAGCCCTGTTGTGTTCTTATTGAGGCTTGTGTTTGTGTGCCTGGGGGGGGGGAAGGTCATTACGTTTTATAACAGCAGGCAGATTAGGTGACTGTCTCTGGATTCTCTGCATTGTCTTGCTGCCTGGGGCCCTCCTCTGGTTCTTCCTGCCACCTGGTCATTTGTGGGTGGTAACAAGGGACCAGATCTTTGGGATTTTGGCAACTTTGCCGCGGAGTGTGTTCCCTAGGCAGAGAGTCTCTGCCTGCTGCCCACTTTGCTGTTTAACAAAATACTTTAATTTTATAGTTAATGAATGTTATAGATAACATAGAAGAACATTTGAGAACACAGTATAATGAAAGGAGGATGTTAAATCACAAGATTGTTAAATTACATTCAACCTAAAATTGTGTGTACATAGAAATACATGTATAAACACCTGTGCCTTCACAAATTGATTCTCTCTCTGTGTGTGTGTCTCTCTCATATAACTTGTGGAGACAGGTTTTTTTTAAAATGTGTGATATTACATTTATTTAATCAAGAAGTCCAGCAGCCAGTGCAGCAACAGGTAAAATAGTGATGTTATGTTCATCCATTCAAGCAAAAGGAACTTCCCATGTCTTCAGTTAAATTGGCCATTGGCCATCTAGCAAGCCCAGTTCAGTAACACTTTTGCATTTGCTTTGATCCTTTTCCTTGCAGGGGGAAGTGTAATATTTCCCATTTCTCTGACATCTTCGCTGCTAGGGAGTTTAAAGCTCGGGTGGACTCCTTTTTCTACATACTGGGCTACAATCCAGAGACAAGGTGAGTTGTTTTCAGTCTTACCTACAGAGAAAGCATTTAGCTAATGGCCTTACACTGTGTCAATCCTTGTGGGGAGGGGCGTGTTCAAGGGTAAAGCTGAGGCATTGTCCTTTGGTTCCTTCTTTGTACCTTCCCAGAGGCATTTAGGAACAAGGCACAATTTTGCTTTTGTAAGTTGAGTTCTGGATTTAGCATTTAACCCAACACCTACATGCCCATCTCTGCCTATATAATTGCTCACCAAAGCTTCCAGATAATACCGATTGGCTGTGGACTCTTAAGTAAGCAGACCAGTGTTCTTTCTAGTGCTCAGTTCTGTTGGCAGCCGGTCTTTGGGTAGTCTTGTTGGGTGAAGTCAATGGCTGTTGAAACTGGAGTCATCCACAAGAAAATTATGTCCTTCCTTACTGATGTGTACGATGAAATCATGTTGTTCCTTTTCCTCAAGATGATCTAGCTATGGATCTGAAAGGGCAGCAGGTTGTCTTAATGCCAGCTCAGTCTCTTAGCTTTCTCAATTGCTCCTGCCTGAGAGAGAGAGGGAGGGAGGGAGGGAGGAGTATTTTGTAGTTCGGTGTTTCAGATGTTAAAGAGGGAAAAATGGATCCTTGCAGATGGCAAACTTGCTAAGTTCCTATAAGAAGCATTTGCTTGCCTGTGGGTCAAGATGTGATGGTTTGGAAAACTATCAACATCCACATGACCCAAGTCACATTATTAAAAAATTATCATCAGATGCTTTATTCATTTGCCAGCTTTTAGAACCGGTTATATTGCTTGACACTCATGGCAGGGTCTTCTCAGTGACAGCCCCTGCTGTTTGAGACTCTTTCCCAAGGGAAGTTCACTCGGCCCCACTTGCTTGTGGTTTTTAAAACATTTTGAATGTCCACTTCTTTTGAATGTTTTTTAGCCTTATGGTTTATCTGTCATGCTGCTGCTTTCCCCATGTTTTATTGCTGTGGCTCTGAGTATGTTTTTGAATTTGGTAAATGATATTTAAATATATTGCTAATTTGCCCCTTTTTAAAGTTTTAAAGCTTTATTATATGGTATACTTTGCCTTTAATGTTTATACTTGTGTAATTTGTTCTCTGCCTCAGGCAGACTCTATCCAGATATGCAGCCTAGGAACCTGCACCTTCTTCATGTTTGAGGCAACTGTGCCGTAGTTGTGTGTTTTGACAGAACCAATTTTGCTGTTTATGGCTTCCTTACTGGTGTTGCATCTGAAGAAGGGGGTTTAAATCCACAAGAGGTCACACTGAAATAAACCTGCTGGTTTTAAAAGACCAGCAGGTTGTATATGTTGTTGCCAGTAAATGCTTAGGCATGATCACAGGTCTGATAGATCAGCAAAGCAACGAGCATCAGATTCGGCCACGCAGGGCTGGCCAGCTAGGTTGGACCGGAATTCCAAAGTTTCATTTTCCTTGCAGAGCCCCAGCCATGTAGGTGATCGGCTGTAGTGGCTGTGATGCAGAGGAAGCTTTTGGATCAGTCCTCCTCACTGGGTGCCCTGGGGGGGGGCACTCATACTTGTTGGCCTCCAAACCCTGTTTGCAAACTGGAACTTGGCACATTTAAGAGTTGGGCCAATAGTATAATGTTGCTCTCCTAGAAGCATGATGGCTTGCATGGGAAAAAATCCATCCAACTCTTCTTCAGAAAATGCACAGTTGTTTGGCTGTAGATGGTATCTACATTCTTTCCAATATATCAGTGAAAGAGATGAGCCCAAGTTCCCATTTATGTGACAGAAAGGCATTTATCCTGTTGTTAACGGCGGCTGCATTCTTTTCTTCTGTGGATACAAAGACGTTTGATAAAGCAAGTTCTGGTTGTGTGTGTGCGTGAATTTATATCTGAGAGACAGACAGACATGCAGATGTGTTCACTGTGTACTTGACCATGTATGATGATTTTGTAGAGGGCAGTTCTCTGAAGACATCTGTTTGAAAGTCCCAGTCCAGTTTGAATAAAAAATAAGGGAAAGAAGGAGCGTTGACATTTCCTGTCAAGATTTTGCAACGGAATACACCAGATTAAACAGGCACATCGCTCAGACTTCTTTCCTATGGTGTGATGCCACTGTAATGATAGCTGTATATGTAAATATTACTATTTAACTTACAGGGATTATTTCTATATGAGTCTGTACTTAGAAATTAACCTAGGTCCATTTTTTACAAATCTTTGTCCCCTTTTGGGAACACCTTTCCTATGGATACAACGGTCCCAGTTTGTGTGTTCACGTGGGTTGCTGAGTCATTGCCACATCAGCCACAATTTGGGTTTGAGTTAAAGGGTGAACAATTATATATCAGAATCCATCAGTGAAAAAATCCAGCAAAATTCTGCAAGGGAGAAATCCAGCAGTGGCCCCATTCTCACTAGTTTGTTTTCAGGGATCCGGCCCACAGCTAGACAGCAGGCAAGGAGATCGATAGTCGTGTCTTCTTTATGGCCTACTAAAATTCCACCCAGGCTGCACACCAAGATGCCCATTCTATAATGATGTTCTAGATTTGCTGCTGAAAGGAGAAGCACCAAATACACACACACATTCTTGCTGCCATCGTGAAGGTGCTATTGATGAGCTCTCAGCTCTCTTAAGAGAACCCGCAACATAAAAAGGAAGCAGATCTGGGCCTTTATTTATCTCCACTTTAAAAACCTGCTGAGCACAGATGGTTAAGGGTGAGGGAACATCAGCACTGCTCTGTTCCTCTCACTCTTGAAGTGATTTGTGTCTTTTGGAAGGATTCGTCAGTGTTTCTGCCATGTCCCAGGTAGGTAGGTAGGTAGGTAGGTCCTTTATTTATCTCCACTTTAAAAACCTGCTGAGCACAGATGGTTAAGGGTGAGGGAACATCAGCACTGCTCTGTTCCTCTCACTCTTGAAGTGATTTGTGTCTTTTGGAAGGATTCATCAGTCTTTCTGCCATGTCCCAGGTAGGTAGGTGGGTAGGTAGGTAGGTAGGTAGGTAGGGATTGATTGATTGATTGATTGATTGATTGATTGATTGATTGATTGATTGATTGAAATCTGTGAAACAGATGATAGTGAACAATACTTTCACACCCAGGAATCGCTGCTGCTTGGTTCCAGTCTCAGCTCTTAGATAACACTCAGGAACAAACTGAGTAACAAACAGAATTCTGCATGTGTACAATAAAAGGTACTCCTTGTATCGGCTCAAGGTGAGCAACCTGCCTAGCACATTTTTGGTGGCAGCCCCCAAAAGAAAACAGTGCGGTCGTCAAGCGCTTGATGGTAGTGATCAAGGCAAGGCTCATTCACACGCTCATGTGAAAGGTCAGCTGTACTGGGTATAGTGATAAGTTTTTTTAAGGGCAGGTCGCCTACCATCACACATTGGGGATCTTGATTTGAAAGCCACTGCCCCCTAGTAAAATACCCTTGCTTTGGTTTCTGAGGCAAGGGAGAACTTGCATCTTGACTCCTCTGCAGCAGAGCACACTGAATCCCCTGGGTTATGAGATGGGCACGGTGTTGAAGCAAAAACCCTTTGCAGCCTATGAGAAACACCACATTTCAGGATTTCAGGGTGGCAGGCAAATATTTTGCTATGAGAAACACCACATTCAGGATTTCAGGGTGGCAGGCAAATATTGGCAAAGAATGCACAGTTCTGCTTAACTCAAATATAATTCTCCCTTCGGGGATAAAAAGTGAGTTGGCCCAACCCATTAGTCAGTACAGGTGGCTCGGCAGGTTGGCAAAATTCCTGGAGCTCTGCCCTCATTCAAGTCATTCTCTGCTCTCGGTGCCTCTATCGCATATAGCTGGCATGTTTGCATGAGAATGACTTTGTGATTTTAATCGTTGCAGCCTGCTCTGGGGAGCCGAGATCGCTCAGTGGCTTGGTGCGACTGGAGCCAGGAGCTGGGAGTTCAAATCCTCACAATGCCTCCTGAGGAGAGGCCCAGCCAAGATCATCCAGGCTGATAGGGTCTTAAGGGGAAAACTTGCAGGGGGGAAAGGGAAGAGTGGTAAACCACATCTGAACAATATTTTATCTCTTCTCTCCACCCACCTCAAAGCTAGTAGGGTTCTTATTTCTAAATCAGTTTCACACCAAATAATTCTGTAATTATAATTATTATTCTCCATGCAATGGGATTGGTGTAGCATCTCATTCTTGACCTCAGACAGCAAAATGCCTCAAACTGGCATTTCTGTGAGGCATGCCGAAAACTCCCTGACACACCAATGCAAAACCCACATGTGCCTTTCATCACGTGCAACAGTACATTTTCCAAAAAGGAAAAATAATTATTAATTAGAGTCCATCCTGGATCATGTACACTCTTCTCGTTAATCTTGTGTGTGAACTTTTATTCCCTGTTCCCTGGCTTTTCCTGGTCTGATCGTTACAAACTCTGGGTTAAAATGGACCTCTTTTGCTCCAAATTACAAAGTATCTGGATTTTAAAACAGTCCAGCTTCATAGTAACATTGCACTCAATGACTGTAACGCTGTACCATGGTTTACCCCAACAAGAATGAGCCTGCCCAAAACTCTTGGGTCCATAACCTTCGTCTCCCATTTAGTTTTCCTTGGGCAGATTCCAGCAGTGTTAATAAGGACCGGCCAGTGATTGCAGTTTAAAACAACGGCCCTCAACATTTTGTATCTCATCTCTCTTTAATAACCCCGTGGAAGAATGCAGGTCCTCCCATGGTAGAAATGGAGAGCCCAGTTCTTCTCCAGAGGTGCATTCATATGTTCCTCTGTTGTTATATTTCTGACTGAACGCTGTACATGAGGGGGCCACGGGGGCCCATTTCCCCATTCTCTGTGCAAATGGTCAATTAGAGTTTAGCTTATTGCGCAGATGACCCATTGCGAACAGTGCAAAAATGGTACTGGCCAGTGGCTGGGGGAGGGAACCCTGGGTTTCAGTGAGATCTGTCTTACTAAAATTACTTTTTAATAAGGCAGGTTCTAGAATGGCGACCTCTTGATCTGGCT